CAACCTTTACTCACACATGCAGTCCCACAGGATTTTAATATCACCACCTCAACGAATAAGGGTTTGCAGGACAGGTTTTAAATTATTCATATATTCACAGATTTTTAAGACCAGAAGGGACCATTATGATCATCTAGTCTGACCTCTTGTATAACAAAGGCCATACGACTGTAGCCAGTAATATTTGCACTTGATGAACCATCTGTAGTAAAATCGTGTTTAGCAAACTTCCAATACTGATTCAAATTTTTCATGAAAGAGAATTGAAATGGTTTAGAAAGTGGCATGGACACACTTCCTCACAGCTGAACCCAGTTATTCCTCTATTTCTACTCAGAATTCTTCTGATTTCTGGACACTGGCTTTTGGTGTGGTTTTCACAGACAGACTCCAGAGTCCAACACTACTTCAGGTACTCTCAGGACAAAATCAAGCAACCTCCTGAGCTCCTTCAAAACATTAATTACTATTTGCTTTCTGCACTTTTACCACTCCTGCCCTGCACCACGACTTCTAAGATATCATAAGTGAAAAGACAATCAATTAATGCTATCAATGATGCATAAACAGGAAACCCAACATTTCCACCTCAGCTCTTTCCCAAATAGGATCATGTGCAGCAGCTACTTCAACCACCAGCTTAAAGACAAAAAGCACCAAAAGCACTTTTCTTAATTTTGTAGATGACTAACTGCTCATCCTTTCCCACCCAACTTCTTCAGCTGCTCCTGAAAGGACAGCTCTTATTTTAAATTACTCTTACGACAGGTTTTATCATACTGTGTGTGCAACCTGTAAGGTAAAAAGTTTATACTCAGAATATTATGTGCAATTCCGAAATATATGATCAGATTATAATCATCCCTCTTGAAGCAGCTCAGTCCCCTTAGTGCACACAGACTTTCCAAGACAGGGGGGTTATGCTCCATTAGTGGCCAGCACTGTGTAACGACTCTCCAATCACACAACTCTCAATGACACAAAGAAAGTGCTTTTTATTTTTCCCTGCGTGCAATGTTTGCACAATGCTCATAGACTCTGTACAAGAAAGACCATTAGTTTCTATATAAAGACTGCCATAAAAGTTTTACAGTTTATCTATAAATGTATAAAGATTGCTGGTTTCATTATAAACTCTGTTTCAATGCCAATGGAAAGAAAAATTACCAGCAGAATAGAAGTAGCAATCTGCATAAGTACCAGCTTGCAAGCATGCATACCTCAGTCATTCCTGGAGTAATTAACTGAACATACAATAGTTCATCAAATTACAGACAAGCCATCATACCACTGAGAGCAGCTCACAAACAGCAACCATCACAACAGCATTTTTCCTTTCCTTTTCAGATGAGATATAAGGAGTAAAACAGTCAGGAACCAAATGATGCAGTACTAGAAAGAAAAAAAATAATTTTAAAATGTACTGCATTTTCCAAGGTTGTGTAATTCCTCCTATACCTTACATTGATTGTTTTACTACTTCCTATTTCTATATATTTATACAATAACTATTTGCTGTATTGTTTCAGATAGAAGTTTGCATCTTTGCTGCAAACTTCCTTGTCTTTAACCCAGGAGAGCTATTAATCTTGGGATTAATCTTCAAAACAGCAGACAGCCAAAATTCATATGGTGACCTGCCATGCGTGGTGTTTACAATATCACAACAGCACAGGATTCCAGCTACAAAACATTAACTTCATTACTAACTTTTTATTAGGAACCCAAACCAGAAAATACAGCAATACTGAAAGATTTTTCTGTTTTTTGAAAGGATACTTCTATCTACAGTGACTGCATTTTATAAAGAAAAACTGAGAGTTCTCATCTGGTTTAAATTCTGAGGTCATGCTAAAAATCCAGCACTGGAAAACTGTTGCTTATAATACCAACAACTACTGGTTTCATGCTAGGTAAAACCACAAACACACACATATACATTTTGTTCCTAAAAGCTATTATAAAACAGCCCAACAAGTTAAAACAGTCTCATATTTTAAAATGTAAGTCAAGACTACTCCAGTGCCCCTCCTGCCATTCAAAAAAAGCCCCATTTTACCCATTTCAAGAGGCCTGGAGCAATCATTAGCATTTTCTCCCCTTGGTAAGGCTCCTCAGTTACCTTGTCTATGACATTTTCTATAAAATATTCTCTTCTACAGTTATTTAACAGATTTAAACTGTAGATGTCATTGCGGTCTGAACATGTCAAAGACAACTTGAGGGAAAAAAATCAGGACACGCAGAATTCACTTTGTCAGTAATTACAATCAAAATTCCTGCAATGTGGCTGGCCTGCTCATTACTTCCTGACTTTGTATCAAACCCCTTATTTACATTTCAGATTACATTTTTCATGAAACAGTAAGATCTATCAGAGCTGAGAGGACTGAAATAATGAGGGAGAAATATTTTAATAAAATGTGTTGGATCTGCATTACTTCCGTGTCAGAAAGAAAGGTTTCTTCTGTAGCCATGGATCATTTATTCTGTCTCTAAA